TAGGCAATTCGTCTACCCACTTTCCTTTTGCTGCCTGCAGCCTCTTCTTTATGCCATCCAAAATTACTTTGTTAGATGCTTCTGCTTGCTGCCCATTGCTTTGGGGAAAACTTGGTGTTGAAAAGTAGTTCTTGATCTTGAACTTTGTACAGAAACTCTTAATTAGTTTACTGTCAAACTGTGTTCCATTGTCGGTAATTATTGCTCTTGGAATCCCAAATCTGGTGATGATGTTTCTCCATATGAAGTTCTTGACATCCACATCTCGAATCTTGGCAAGAGGCTCTACTTCTATCCACTTCGTGAAGTAATCTGTTGCTACTAGCAGGTACTTCCTTTGCCCAGTTGCTTGGGGTAATTGCCCAACGAGATCCATGCCCCATTGGGCAAATGGCCAAAGACTGGATACAGGGTTCAGGTCAGCAACTGACTGGTGTATCAAAGGTGCAAACCTTTGGCATTGTTCATACTTCTTTACGTAGGCTTCTGCATCTTTTTGCATGTAGGGCCACCAATACCCCTAGGTAATGGCCCTGTGAGCTAGTGATCTGCCCCCAGTGTGGCTTCTACAAATTCCTTCTTGAATTTCATATAAAACATCTGCAACCTGCAGAGGGTGTACGCACCTTAAAAGGGGTCCAGTGAAGGACCTTCTGTAGAGATGTCCTTTCGCTGTTAGACTGAATCTTGCTGACTTCAATCTGACCTTGTGTGCCTCCTTGTGGTCGTCTGGCAGCTTTCCTTCTTTCAGGAATGCAACAATTGCATCCATCCAGCTTGGTCTCATGTCCACACACATTGCTTCATGCTCTGTAGTCGGTGGTTCTATGCTTGGGCCCGACAAATAGTCAATCATTATTGTCATTGTTTTTCCAGTTTGTATTGAACTTGCCAGGTTGGCCAACGCGTCGGCGTGGCTGTTATCATCTCAGCTAACCTGAAGAAGTCGGCAATTCTGAAATAAGGCTGCCAACCTGATGACTTCTTTTGCGTAGGCTGACATTCTTTCATCTCTTGCTGCAAATTCGCCCATTGTCTGGTTGACTATAAGTTGTGAGTCACAAAAGGCTATTACCTCATCTGCTTCTGCTGCTACTGCCAGCTTCAGTCCTGCAATCAATACTTCGTATTCTGCCTCATTGTTTGAGGCCTTGAACCCCAATCGAATGGACTATTCCAATATCTCTCCATGTGGAGATATCAATACTACTCCTGCCCCCCGCTCCCTGTCGGTTTGAGCTCCCATCAACGAATAGTCAAAAGGAGTCGCCGATGTAAATGCTGCAGGGTCTGACTTTTTCTTCTTTCCTTTGTGTCGTTGTATTCGATTGTGCTTCTTTTTCCTTGCTTGGGTATCGCTCACCTTGGCTCAACGGAGCCTGTTGTACGATGGATTCTGGTGTGAACTCGGCCATGAAGTCGGCCAAAACTTGGCCTTTGATTACTGTTCTCGACCTGAACTCCAAGTCATACTGACCCAAGGCCACTGCCCATCTAGCTATTCTTCATGTTAAGTCTCCTTGTTGCAACAAGGACTTTAGTGGGTGTTCTGTTAGTATCACAATCTTGTGGGCCTGAAAGTAATGGTTCAACTTCTTTGAGGCCATTATTAAGGCCAGCATCAATTTTTCTAATGGTAAATACCTTGTTTCTGCATCGGCCAGGGTTTTGCTTACATAATAAACAGCCTTTTGCTCCCCTTTCTCTTCTCGGATTACCACTGCACTTACTGCGTGTTCTGAAACCGCTAAGTACAAAAACAGCTCTTCCCTAGGTTCAGGTGTTAAGAGGATTGGAGCCATGGTCAGATATTTCTTTAGGTCGGCTACAGCGGCTTCACACTCCTCAGTCCATAGGAAGTCCGTGGCCTTCTTCACTAGGTTGAAGAAAGGTTTACATTTTTCTGAGCTTCGGCTTATGAACCTGTTTAGGGCTGCGGCCCTTCCAGTAAGCATTTGTACCTGTTTTGCCGATGTCGGGCTCTGTAACTCTAGCATGGCCTTGATATGATCTAGGCTGGCCTCAATGCCCCTTCTGGTCACCAGGTACGCCAAGAACTTACCAGATCCAACTCCAAATGCGCACTTCGATGTGTTGAGTCGGAGCTGAAATGTTTTGAGGGATCTCAAAGACCTTTTTAGGTCGGCAAGATGACCCTTAGGTTCCTTGGTCTTCACGACCATGTCATCGATGTAGACTTCTACTGTTTGGCCGATCAGGTGTTTGAACATCTTGGTTACCAACCTTTGGTAAGTTGCTCCTACGTTTTTCAACCCAAAAGGCATTACTCTGTAACAGTACAGGCCTTTTAGGGTGATAAACGCTGTTTTCTCCTCATCTGGGGGGTACATGGCTATCTGGTGGTACCCCCTATAAGTATCCAGGAAGCTCATCCTTCCATGTCCAAATGTGGCGTCTACCAGCTGGTCAATCTTGGGTAGAGGAAAGTTGTCTTTGGGACAAGCTTTGTTCAGGCTTGTAAAGTCTACGCAGACCCTCCATTGACCATTCTTTTTCTTTACTACCACTGTGTTTGATAGCCATATCGGATAATTGACTTCTCTAATGGCCCTGGCCTCCAGAAGTCTATCTACTCCCTCTTCCACTGCTTCGATGTGCATCAATGTCGGTCTTCTTGCGCGTTGGATTACAGGTTTGGCCAATCTGTCGACGTTCAGTTTGTGGCAAGTGACCTCGAGGTCAATGCCAAGCATTTCGTAAGGTGTCCAAGCGAACACCTCAATGTTTGCTCTTAAGAAAGCTTCCAACTCTCTTTCCTCTTCTTCGGCTAGGCCTGAGCCGAGAAGAAAGAAGCGTTCTTCATCACTCTCCTAAACGAGGATTTTCTTTAATGTTTCTTCACTTTTCTCGGCTGGCTCCTTGCCGACATCATCTAGGACCTCTATGTCCTCGTCTTCAATTTCTACCTTCTCTGGTTCTCGAATGTTGCAGGTGGATTTCATTGCTGCCATGGAGCAATTCTTTGCCTGCAGTTGATCTCCTCTGACTTCTTCAATCCCATGCTCTGTTGGGAACCGCAATAGTTAATGCAATGTTGAGGGAGCTGCCCCCATTACATGCAACCATGGCCTTCCCAAGATGATGTTCTATGGCGAGGGCGTGTCAATCACGATGAATTCTGTCTTGATCTTCTTAGTGCCAGCTTGTACTTCTAAGCTTGTTGCGCCCAGTGGCCATATCGGCGTTCTATTGAACCCGACCATCGGGCCATTGGATTGCTCCATGTCATCAGGGTGAAAGCCCAGCTCCTTGTAACATCTAACATACATGATGTTGTAAGAGCTGCCTTGATCAATCAGGATGCGTTTCACTTGGTACTCCCCAACCTGGAGGGATACTACCAAGGCATCATTATGCAGATGCTGGACCATCTCTAGGTCGGCTTCAGTAAAGGCTATCATTGGTCCCTGGCACTCTTCAGACCATGGTTTTTTCTGTCCAACCTAGTTCACGTGCTGCAGGTGTTTTACCTTCTGGGTCTCCCCCCGTAGGTCGTATTCGTTCACCTTTGAGTGAATTACATTAACCACCCAAGGTCCTCTTGTCTCTGGTCGCTGTGCTGGGGGAGGCGGAGCTGCTGGTGTGTTGCACTCGTCTCCTTCGATATTAAGATCAATAGGTCTCTTACTCCCAGTAGGAGTGTCGTCCCCAATCTTTTCTTGTTGTCCGTTACTGGCCATCTATTCTTCTTTCTTTTCCACAGACGGCGCCAAATTGTGTGAATGATTTTCTGATCACACTGTCCGCTTAGTAATCAGCTAGAGAGCACTGGCAGAATAGATGACTTTAGCTAACCTGCAACAGAAAAAGAAGGCTTCAGCAGTGGTTCTTCCACCCGGGGGCACTCCGACGATCAAGTCAGTATATCACTCAAAGATAATCAAGTGCTAAATTTACTGCTCAAAGCATAAATTGCGTACCTTAGACCCACGGGGGTGCCTCTCTTTTATAGTTAACTCAATCCTAGTCCCAATAGAAGCCTGACTTCTATGGACTCCCATTCAGTGCTTACTTTGGATTCCTCAAGAGACAATGATAGACTCCCTAGGAGTGTTATCCTTATCCATTCTGCAGTCTTTCTTCATTCTAGGACTCTTGTCCCTTATCCGCTTATCTTAGATTCTGATATCTTCGGAGATAACCTCGGCCTAGCCGAGATCACCTCGGCGTCATGTCCAAGACACGTGGCACCTCGGCTGACCCGTCGGCGTCACCTTGCCACGTATTGGTACTCAGAAAATATATCTCCACAGTGTGTATGCATTTTGTGTTATTTTGGCTATTTTAGTTTTGGATCATCATCTAAATAATTAATAAAATAATATAAATCTGTTATATTTAACTAAAAAACATACCTGTAATAAAGCTGAAAAATAACAAAAACATATTCTGTGTTCCACATATTATAGTGGTTGAATTAAGCAAAAATTTAATTTATATTTTTTCATATTCTTTTTTGCTTTTATATTTTTAAAGTCATAAGCAGTGATCATTGATTCAATGATAAAATCTTAGTCTAATAATCTTTGAGATTATGAGTTTAAGTCTCGGAACAATCATTTTGTATACTATGCACAGGGTATTTCTGTCAAAAGAAATAATAGTTCTTTGGAAAGATAAAAATCAGCTTTGATTTCTTTTCCCAATTATCATTTTAAATGTATAAAAACTGTCAACAAGCATATGGAGAAATTGAGAACATCAATAATTTTAGAATACACTATTCATCTGATAAGTATAATCAATTTGAATGTTGTAAACACCACAAGTTTTCCGACATGCTGGTATAAACTTCTAGATAGCATCTTTTCATTTTTCTCAACGGCCCCATTTGGTGCTTCGAAATGTAGGGGGAAGGGAAAAGGAAAAATTTGATATTAGTGATGTTGTTTATACAACACTTCAACAAACACAATCTCATTAGTGTTTTCATCCATCTTAACTTCCTTAAGTATTTAAAAGTAATAACTATAGACCCATTAGTCAATAATTTCCACACACAGTATTCATATTTACTGTGGCATGCTTTATCAATGATTATTAATACTGTCAACATGTTTTGGTGTGCTCATTTACTTCGGCTCCGGTACTAGTAAAGGGCCTAATTTGTGGAATTTAATTCAAAACTTTAACAATGGTCCAGGTCAAATTATGACACAAAACCATATCACTTCTGCCTATAAAGGGATCACAATCTCACCATTTTCATTTAGCTTCAGCAGCAGTTGTTCCCACGTTGGGAGAGCACACATTCCAGCATAAACTGCTGTCCTGACTGCCCATGTATGGTATGGTGCACAAACTTGTGCATAAGCTTCTGAGGCTGCTTCTTTTAAAGAGCAATACCTAACAGAAACACAAAAAATAAATCAAATAAATGAGATTTTGTTGCCAAGGAGAAACAAAAGCAAAGATTGCAATAAATCAGATAAATGATGACAGAGTCGGAAACCATCAACAAAATAATTCAAGAACTAGAGTTGATCTTTGAGTCTAGTAAGACCAAATGCTTCTTGAATATGAAGTTTCTTGGCATGCTTTGCATGTGTGTTTTTGTTCATTAATATGTTGTCTGTGTCCTTGCCTTTAGCTTGAGATGGGAATAGCAGGCAGATGCAAAACAGGAATAGAGCACTGAAATATTTAAACTCATTGAATTAATTAGATTGTACAACTTGTTTCAGAAAATATCTTTATGGATTTATGATTCATCTAAAGCAGACTAAACATAAAGTGACAAAACACAAAGAAAGAAAAGAATGACAGCAAGAGAGTAGATAATCTGGTAACACACTACTCAATGTCCAAAACCAAAGATTCTTTATTACATCTAGTGGAGCAATAATATGCATCATCAAAGCACATATTATATCAACGAGCCTGAATAGGAGGACATAAATTTTTCCAAATAACAAGTGCCAGGAAACATTTTAGTAGATGTGAGAGAAGGAAGATACTATAAAAGAGAGGAACATACTCTGAAGACAAAAAATTTTCGAATATAGCTCTGATGAGGTCGAGACCCTGCCTAACTCTGCGTAGATTACATGAAAGGCTTCCTTGTGTTCTCACTGTGTCATTTTTGACATCAACGTCAAGTACGTTATTTAAAGTGCCATACATATTTGACGCTTCCACAAGATCACGCACCTGGAAGTGTCAATCAAAGCATTAGATCCAACGAGCATTTTTAGATTGGAAATTAACAGGGAGAAGTAACAAACTTTGGATTGAAATACACAAGGAATCCATCTTTGCATTATATTTATGTAAATATGGCATTTCACCTTTAGAAGGCAAGATTTTATCATTGAATCAATGATCACTGCTTATGACTTTAAAAATATAAAAGCAAAAAAGAATATGAAAAAATATAAATTAAATTTTTGCTTAATTTACCTTACTACTTCATTTACAGATTTCTGTGTTCCACATATTATAGTGGTTGAATCATAATTTATATACATAATAAACAAAAAAGAAACATAATTTTTTTTTTTAATAAAATAAGGGAGAAGATGAAGAAGACTGAATTGAAAAGTTGAGAGATATATACAGATCATCAGGGCTGCAATGCATCTCATCATTATTGAAGCAATCAGCTAGCCATCCCTCAGATGACTGATCCAGGCCCTCATGACCAGTTGCAGATGTTTCCTCTATTAAGCACATTATAACAAGCAAGACAAAAAAAAACATGTATGAATGTTAAGAACCTATTCATCTCAGAACAGAACTTTACAGGACAAACCTTCAAAACCAGACACCCAATGCGACATATCAGATAAAGCCTCTTCAAGCGAATCTTCTCTCTCCTAATCAAAGAACCAAAAAAGAGTGATCCAATGGTTTTGTGAAACTTGATTCAATCACACAAATTAATACTAAAACGTAATTTCAACTGAAACTTTGATTATAAATGCAAGTGTTTGAAACTTCCTTAATGAAGTGAGCAAGAACAAATTAATTAGGTGAAACCCAAATCTAAACTAGTTCAGAAGTTGCATTGACCAATAATGATCATTGACCAATAATGATCCCCTGACAAAATGTTGATATCATAAAATAATTTATCTTGATATGTGGTGGATGATAAATTTGTTTCCCTTCCAAAAGATAGAAGTCATATAATTGTCAATATACAACAGAACAGGTATCTCAACAATTATCTTTTGTGTGAAACCAAAATAAGACCACTATGTAGAATTTTTCCCCAAGAACAGCAAAAGATGTATCATGTAACATTTTCCACGAGGAAATAGGCTTGCACAAACCTTCGATTTTAAGAAGACAGATGATATCTCCTCATTGCAAAGAGGGGAACCCAAAATCTCATTGTCAAACTGCAGCATTCGACGTCTCTTTACTTGTGAAGACATCTCCGTGCATTGCTGTAATTCCTTGTCCATGTTTACTGCAATTCATTTTTTTCCAGATAAAAAACAGTGTCCTTCAAATCGAACAAGCATTAAAAGCTAGCAAATGTCGAAACATTTTAGTAAAGTATAAAACTACCATTGTCAGCAACATGGTAAGCCAAATCCCCACAGGCCTTAACAGGTGTTGTTTCGTCAAACATGTAGGACAGATCTTCTTCATTCTGGCTTACTCCATCCCAAAGGCATGGAGATATGTCTGCTCACAACAATAAACCCGTTCCACATCAAAACTTTACCCAAATATCTTGACTTAACATTAAAGCGAAAAGCAAAGCAAGGCTCACACAGATTGGTTTCCTTCTGGAGACAATAACCCTCTCCATGCCAGTCCCACATTTCGCTGCTTCCATTTTGGAAGTAGTTAAAGTGTTAAATCTAAACGTTAGTTATAATTTAATTTCCAAGGGAACAAAAAATTGAAGTTTAATAAAAAATGAATGCGGAAGAAATTTAAGGAATGCACTAAATCCATGACATAAACTATAGTATTGCTGCATTATAGTAACATCCAACATAGTTTACAAGGGGTTACAAGAAATAGTGGGGCATTACATCTGGTCAGTATAAAAGATTAGAAGAAGGAATAGTTCTGATGGGTACCTCCACAAACATCTAATGCAGGTCAAAGGCATTTGCATAGTAATTGAGAGAGAGAGAGAGAGAGAGAGAGAGAGAGACTTATGAATTAAGAGGAATAGGATCACAATCTATGTTTAGACAAATTTTCAACTCTGTGATAAAAAATAATACAAGGAAATCAAACATAAAATTAATAATAAATAAATAAAAGACCCAGTAATCAGAATCCACAGCCTCGTACTAATTTTCCCCTTCTAACTGCTGTAGAGTAAAAGAAACCCAGAAGCCAGGGGATGAAATCAATTGAACCCATCTCACAAATACAGCATTTCAATCAAAAGAAATTGACGAATACACAAAAGAATAACCAACAACGGAATCAACATTTTAGGAACTAAACCCATAAAATCAACACAGATCACAACCAACACATTTCCAGAACAATCTATACATGTGTGCACATGTGTATGGTGAGCACATGTGTATGGTGACGAAGAAAAATGCTACAAAGAGAATAGGGTTTTTAAGCAAAAATGACTGGACTAGTGTTTTGAATAATTTCTAGAATTACTGCAGTTTATAGAGGCAAGCTATTTTCAGGACATAATCATGCAAAAGTAAACATTTTCCTGCAGTTTTCTTGTACAATTTCAACACTCTAATATCCTATGAAAGAAAGGTATATCTGCTTTTAAAGGCACATATTTCCAGGATTTGAAGAGGATCAGCCGTTACCATAATGTAGTCCGACTTCTGTAGATTACTGTTGAATGATACTCGCACAAGAGCTCTACCATGTCGCACTGCTTTCAATTAGGAATAAGAATGCAGGAGTGAGAGTTACGGTATGGCCAGGCAAAAGATGGTTAGAAACATAGCTAAGACCATGTAGGTGCAATATATTTGTGCAGAAGATGGGAGTTTCCACATGAAAATGCTCTGACCAAACAGAAACATAAAAACAATAGACATCAACAAACCATAAGGATTAGAGTTAGCTGAGCTAAGTTGTTCCAATGGTTTAGTATAGAGTTTAGATAAACGTGTAAAAAAAACATAAAATCACAGAGAAGTGAAAAAAGAAGAGGTGAAGGAAAAAGGACATGAAAGTAACCGCTTGTAGATTCCATTTAATCTGATTATTTCTTCTATCTGCAATATTCACAAAAATAAAAATGGAGAAAACAAAATATTATCTTACTAACCCTCAACAAATAAAGTAACGAATAATGTGTTCAAACACCAAAATAAGAGTATTATCAACTTCACTTTTGCATTATTACCACACAACATGATTGAAGTTACCAGTGTGTGTTTGAAGTTACCAGTGAGACCAAAATGACTACGGTTGGAGCTGTAATTAAAGTTATAGTTTACCTTGAACTTAACTGAAAATCATGACTTCACATAGAACAAAAACTAGAAGAAAAAACTCGAGTCAGGATTATGGCTGCTTGAGTTGAGTTGGTCAGTTAGCACCAAAATAAGAGTATTATCAACTTCACTTTTTCATTATTACCACACAACAGGACACATTAATCACACAATGTGAATATTGTAAGTCAATTACACCGAGTATTTACTTATGAATACCTGTGTTCTTAGCTGCAAGTGCTGCTGTCCTGTTATTCATAAACCCCAACATTGTGAGAGCTAAGTCATCAATTGAAAGCTAAATATTGAAAGAACAAAAAGAACTAAACTGACAAATAGAATATGGCATGCAAAGCACGGTAAATTAGTATTGATGCAATGAGATAAGCTATAGTATTGATGGAATGAGATCCAAAGGCATATAACATTCATGGGTACTTGATCTCAACTTTTTCAAACTATTCTACTGTTTTTAAATGCTAGTTCTGAAAGTCGTAATTGTTTTTCATATATGCAGAATTCCACTAAAAGGGCATTTCCTCTGCCTAAGAACGTAAGAACCCTTGTAAATGCATGCTGCCTAGATACCAAGCCTTAAAATCATGAATACCTCTTCAACCAATTTACAAACATCAGGAGAGAGAGAGAGAGAGCTATTGGATTCTCATAACATTTAATTACGTAGTCTCCATAAGTCTTAGAACACATTTTGCACTGAAAGAACAAGATAAATTAATAAATTACACATTTAAAAGCAACTTACAAAATCTTATAACAATGGAAATGAACCATAGATTTGATATAAATCCTGACAGTAAAACAACAGAACACAGGGATGGCACAATACGAAAGCTTCTTTGTTCTAACAGAAGTTTAACATGCAAGTGAGCAAACCTTCATTCCTAAAATCCACAAGAAGGTTGTGTGCATTGTGACTTTGCTTTAGCAGTAGCAAAGGCTGTCCAGGATGCATTAGTGTAATCCCATACCTGATCAAAGTTAATGTCGAGTTTCAGTAAGTGACAAATGGTGGGCCAAAATAGACTATGCAGTGAACATAACGTTACATTTAGTATATATATAAATAAAATAAAAAATTACCTACTTTTTGCTAAAGTACTCTGCAAAGGATGAATAACTAGAAGGGATTGCATCAGAGTTCCCATCAAAAGGACTCTCAGCAGATGTATTATCAACGACATGTAAGACAGAGTAAATTCTCCCCGTGTGAATTGCCAAAACCACCATCTCCCTGAGGTTTTTGGTATCAATTGATTTATTGGCCTGGTGGATGACATTTGTGGCTTTGCATTCAGACTCAATTGAGTTCATGCCATGAACTGATGAATTTCCCCTATCACCACTAGACTGCTCAGCGCTTAACCAAGCAATGGATAAAAAAAATATCCCCATTTAAAAAGTAATGGATAAAAAAAAGAACGAGGACTTTGTAAAAATGAACTAGTAGTAACATTTAAAAATATCCCCATTACAAAAAAATATTCTGTGAAGATATGAACCAAAACTTTAGGCTTGTTGGGGGGAACATGCCCACAGACCGTGATAATTCATGCATTAAATATATGACAAAAGATATGAAGAACCAAAACTTTAGGCTTGTTGGGGCAGCATGCCTACAGACCGTGATAATTCAAGCATTAAATATATGACGATATGAAGAACCAAAACTTACTTGCACAAGGAGAACATGCTCTAAGGCATTATCTGCATCTTCAGCGACAATGTCCAAACACTTCCACGCTTAATGACTGAAATGTACAATCTATGTCAAAATTCCAAGTAAATATTCAAAATTCTGGAATAGATAATGAAGAAATCAAGATGAAATTACTTGCCTCTTCATGCTCAATAGTATGAGCCAGTGGCAGAATAACTTGACCTGAAAAGCTTCCAACTACAGGGACCAACTTTAACAGCTGCAGCTGAGTAAGCATCGATACTATTGTCTGCCCATTCTGACCTGTGCTCCCGCAGGAATCTAAGTAGTATTGCAGGGGGCACATTCTGAAATATAGGAAAAGTGTACAGCAAGATCAGATAAAGAAATGTTAAGCTCGAAATGAGAACATGAATACAGAGAACTAGTAAAAAAGGATTGGGCAAGACTTGCGTTAATAGACCTATATACAACAATTATCTTAATTTACTTCACTTGCTAATATGTGAAATTTCATAACAATTGCTCTCTAGAACAAAGTGGAAAGCATTTGTTATCTTGGGATGCTTAATTTAACAATCTATTAATGGGCAAATTAATTATAGAACGAGCACTCTACATTTTTTTTTAGAACAGCACATTTAGAATATCCACAGCACGGCAATTGCGATACCACGAAGGCCGATCCTTAAGGATTTCTGCAACCTGGAAGTAGCGAAGCATAACCGATAAATGCTTCACATAAACTCCACAACTACTACAAAAAGGAAGAAAGAATAAAGATTTCAAAAAAAATTACATAATATGTAAGTAACAATCTTACAATCTCACATAATGCCAAGAGGCTCAGTAGATGACAATTCAGCAAACACAATATGTAAGTAACAATCTCACATAATAAAGATTTCAAAAAAAATTACATAAAGCTTTCATATTATACTTCGCATAACGAATCAGATCATACATATAATATGTTCAACAAAGATTTTAAAATTAGAAACCAATATAGAGATGCTATGGCAGAATCCTAAAGAAACAAAAAATGGGAGCAAGAGTATTTGACCATCTAGATCACTGATAAATGGAAAGAATTATAATTATTATTTTTAATTATGTACTCAAATATCTAAGAATTAATTTTAGAACAAGTGATCACAGAGAGAAAGGTATAAAAAAATAAAACAAAAAATGTGCTATGTTCCATATTACGAGTTTTATACACAAATTCATTCACTCCTGAATAGGCAAGCAGGTTAAGGGATTACTCAGGGTTGGTAGAAAAATCATGCACACATTAATAATATAAATTCTAACATATCTTACCAGCTGAGCTAATAAATGAATAGAGAGAGAAAAAAAAAATAACAGGTATCTCCTAGCAAGTTTCCTTGGTAGAGTTTTGTTGTCCCCTTTATGTTTATGGATCTATACACAAAAGAACATGAAAAATCTCATAGAATTCATTTATTCAAATCTTTAAGCATAAATACTAGTATGGTTTTAAGTAGTTTTAATGGGCATTGAAAGACCTCATAGGAAGATGTAGCAAGATTTAGATTTCACGGTAGCCACCTCAAACCCACAGATCTGCTTCATAAATCCACCACCGTTGTAGCCTCAAATCCACCAAATCTGCTCAGTAAACCCACGACTGCTGCCTCGAATCCATTTGGGTTTGATTTCAAAAATCAATTATAGTTAGATAAAGAAATGGGGTTTTATTGGAGAGAGAGAGAATTAGCAACCATAGGTACTGCTTGCTGTTGCTGCAAAGGTGAAAAAAATAGAGGGAGAGAGCTTCTTGTAGCCATGAGAAATGGAGGAGGAAGATGAAAAAAATAAGAAAAGAAAAGGAAAGAAAAAAAGAAAAAGAAAAAAAAAACCTAGAGAATCCCAGCAGGTGGAGAGGAAGGCACATCACCGAGGATGTGAATTGCAAAGGTAGACATAGCCATACTTGGTTTAACACAATGGAGACATACGTAATTCACCGAACCCTGCAACAGTGAATGTATAGAATGTTATTACTAAGTTTAACCAGACTTTTCAGTCGTTAACATAATGGGGAAAAAAATCAATAATACATCAAATCTTATTTCCATTAGATGTAGGGTGCACTACATCTAATAATACAAATCTTATTTCCAATATCAAAGAACAACCCTGCACTTCAAAAAAAAAAAAATGGTGATTAGTAAATGAAACAGAATTACCTTATGGAAAAAAACAGAGATCTTCAGCATTAAAAAAAGGGAGGAAAAGAGCTTTTTATGCAGAGCTCAAATTCTTACCTACTCCAATCCCAAAAATAAGATAAAATAAATTAACAAAACTAGATGCAGAACTTTCATTTGTGAAGAAAAAGATGTCAAAAATGTGCAGCACCATTTTTCTATAGGATTAAACAATTACTATTTACAAACCCATGAGGCCTATGCTATCTCCTCCATAGACCTCATCAATGTTCCTTGAAACCTTCAAGAGACCAAAGTCAAATTAGGCAAAAAAATTTTGTAACAAAGTCTATGCAAGAAAATAGATAAATCCATTTGAAATAAATAGACCATAAAAATCGAAGAAAAACAAGGCCATTAAAGTTTCATGAAAACAATACCAATTCCTTGCTAAGTTCGACATCAGCTTGGTAGCTGCTCTGCTTGCCGTGGCTACTCCCACAAAAGACACAAATACTCTTGAACACACAAAGATATATACACACATAGCTAATACACACAAACTTAACTTAACAAGATATCATAACATTAAAAACAAAACTTAACTTACATCATTTCTTATTGCACTTTGTATATTGTTCATGTTGGATATGATGTACAAAAAATTCACACCAATTTATATTCATGTTTATGTGATTTGTCTAAATAAGCATAAACTGTTATTAACTCATTGCCTGTAGTGTATATTAACCATAACCTGATAGGTGTTATTACAATGAAGACTCAAAATTTTAAAAAAAACTAGTCCCTATAAATTAAACTATGTACAAAAAGCATACACCATAAAAATAAAGCAAATATAGATGAGGGAAAAGGGGTATATGAAGATGGATACCATACATAAGATGAACAGCTGGAACAAAGAAAAATCATAAAGGTAAAGGCCCCTGTTTCACAAAGAATAAATTCTGCATCCACTAATAGCAAAAACACAGAATGAGCAATATAAACTGCTATGAAAATCTGTCTATATTGTTTTGGTCAAGAATAGGAAGCCTTGCAATATAAACTTAGAGCAAACATCAAAGGTAGTTAAAATTGAACAATGCTAAAATGCTAATATTGTATCAACAAATTCATGAGGAAGCAATCACTCAAGTTCAACATCATAGCATTACGGATTGAATTCACGATGTGATAACTATAAATTCATATTCGAATGAACACATGGATTCAAATTCAAATCTCTCACAACAAATTTATAATTAAATATGAACTTCATGAGCAGAGAGAGAATTTACTGCATTAAATCGCAAGGGGCAAGTCAGGCAAGAGGAGAGTTGATCCAAACCCTAGGAGGAGATTCAAGATTGTAAACCCTAGGAGAAGAATCGACCGAAGGAAGAGAGAGAGAGAGAGAGAGAGAGAGAGACAGAGAGAGAGAGAGAAGAATCGATGAAACTGAGATTGGATTGAAATCGAAATTGTGCAGATGGTTAGTAGACGATGCAGATGGTGGTGCGGTGGCGGTGGAGCTTCGAAATCAAAATCATTCTGAGATTGGATCGACCGAATGATGAATCATCGAGCTGAAGAAGGTTGAATCGAGTTGAAGGAGCTGAAGGACCTAGAGAGAGAGAGAGAGAGCGAGTGAGTCAGATTTGGGGGATCGGTTTCTATGAGACTGCAGATTTCTCAGGTTGAAATAAGTTGGTGAGAGATTTGAGGTTTGGAGAGAGAAGCACTGTTAAAACATTCCAAGGCGCTTTTTAAACGACTTCTATTACTTAAAACGGTGCCGTTTTAATTAAAACAAAATGCGACGTTGACAAAACGTCGTTAAATATTATAAATAGTGACGTTTTAAAAAACGCCGTTAAATAAACGCCGTTAAATCATATATTTTCTGAAGTGTGACCCATTTAAAATTGAATCAATGTGACTCAAATTAAAAACTTAAGAACAAATTAACAAAATTAAAACCTTAAAAATCACAGTGACACGGACCCATTTTTAGATGCATAGTGGTATTTCTATCTTGAATCTTTATATATCTTTTCAATCATTTTGACTTAATCATATTTTTTCTCCACAAGATTCCAAACTTTAATGGGGTGGACGTATGTTGAGTACACAATCACAAAGCTGGGATGCAGAGTGTGGGAATCACAAGCGGGAGGCAGAGAAAGAGCTCTCAGATGATGAGAACGAAGTACAGTATAATTAAGTACTTGCTCAAACATGCCAAATTCATTGGAGAGAATGACAATCTTTTATTTCACCTCATGACAATCTCCAGATCAGTGAAGATTATTAGTCAGAAATTAGAAGCTTTCACCAAGGCTTCATCTGCTGGTATATTTATTTTGGTGTCATGCTAAATTGTTTTTACTTTCTTTCTTATTTTCTATGATCCCTTTATGAAATATTTACTGTTAATTCTAACAATTAAGTTTGTCAATAGTTGGAAACAATAAAAGAATTGTGATCGATGATCATGGTTTAAGTATCTTCATTTTGCTTTTTGAAACCGATGTACTTGGGTATAGTGGTTGGAATGAAATATTTATGTGTATTGTTGTTTTCAGATACATTTTTTTTATCATTTTGCTTTAGAAATTTTTATTCATATTTTCAGATACATACAATTTTTTATCATTTTTGAAAAATCTAGAAATCCCCTAGAGTATTTGATTTGTATTATGTACATTTTAAGCAGAATATAACAATCCCAATCAAAACAATCAAACAATCAAGACAAAGAAGAACAACAATTTTAACGTGGAAAAAACACACAATTGACACCATACACTGTGATAAAAAAAACCACGGGCAACAGCCACAAGCAAATCCACAGAAGAATTAAAGGAATTACACAGGTATACTCTCAATTACCTAGCGAATCCACAACGCCTAAGTTGAACCAACCTTTACGTGCCTCTTCCAACCCATCTTCACCACGGAATTTGTCTTTCTGGATGAGCCACTCCGGATTCCAACACAAAGCTCTCAGGCTCGAATTCTTCAGAATCCACAACTCTGAAGAATAACTCTCTCTTTTGCAGTGTACAACAAAACAAACCTTTGATGTACTATCTCTTTAGATCATGAATTGAATACTCAATAAAAACATCAAAGAAACTCCCAAAGTATCCCCAGATATAAACCCTAGAAACCAAAAAAGAGATCTGGAGAAGTTACC